TCGGCCTCAGCAGATGGCCGCTAACACTGAGCCTGTTTCTGCTGGAGGTTTCTTTGGATTTTTCCTCTCTACTGTCGCTACATGCATGCTCAATGCCAGGGATTGCAGAATCAGTGAGAACTTGCAATCAGCTGGTTTTCCTTAGACAGAAAAATTATGAAGAATATGTTTATTACCTGTATAAATACATATTAATATTTTCTTAATGTAACTTTTCTCTGTGTGAGTCTCTCCAGGTTGCAATACAAAATAGAACTTTTATATTTGAATGGAATTACTGAAATAAATCAATTTCTTTAGGATATTCTAATGATATTAAAAGCAACTGCATACTTGTATGACACATTTTTTAGATTTTAAGATATTATGAAACCCTCATATTTTTTACTTGAGTTTAATAGAAAATCTTTGTGAATTCTAGGAAAATAGACTATGATTCTTTCTAACACAGGGGGCTTGTAGATCATTACAAAATCACCCCCCGGCATTACTGTGTTCTTACAAATTAAGGTATGTTCTCATTTTTCTAACACTTGTTTCTTTTTTGTGTGTTTTTGAGTTTTTTGAAAAAGAAATTAGACCTACCAGATACAGAATGGACCCTCCTTTGACACAGACTTAACTTAAAAAGAAAAATTCCAAACAACACCTGATACACAATAATGCTAGTGGGGTAAAAGATTAACCAAATCCAGTAAAGAGAAATGACAAAAACGGGAAAAAAAAAAAAAAAAAAATATATATATATATATATATATATATATATATATATCTGTTTCTGACCATCAAAGATTTTTTTTTCATTTCGCTATGAAACTGAATCTAAGATATTAACACAAAGGAAATATCGCTTTATGGTCTAAAAGTGAGAAAAGGGATGTCCATAATTTACCAGTTCATTAGAGACCAGTGGCCTAACACTATGATTGAGGTAAAGGAAGTATTCTGGGGTTAAAGGTCTTGCTCAAAAATGCAGAATCAGTCTCAGTTTCAAACCTGTGATCTTTTGGCCTTTAAAGACACAAATGCAGTATGTAAACTATGTAAGTAAACTATGTAAAATAAGTCCATGCACAGGTGTTTGTAGTTTGCTCAGCTGTACAATGTAGCAAAAACTAAAGGCAATTTTCAGAAGGGTCAAATGTTAAACTTCAACTTCTAATTTTAATTTCAAGAAAAAGAACAAAGACAAACTATAATTTGTTGATTTAAAAAAAAGGACATGAAAAGATCTTTCTTTCAGGTGTTCACTTAAAGCAGCTGACAGGGTGGATCAACATGATACTTATTAGCAGTTTTCCTCAAGTTTTGTAATTTACATTAATTTCCTTAGCAAAACTAAAGTTGTTTTCTGATATTTATTTGTCAATCAGATAAGTAGTGCTTTAAATTGGTTAAACCTTGCCCTACACGGAACACCCTGCAGTCTTGATTTTGGTTGATATTCTCTAGGTTATATCTGCAAAAGACCCTGCAGTTATAAATTCATTGCATAAAATCATAAACATATTCAAAATCCACTCATTTAAAACTTCTTGAGATTAATGATCATGCAGTTTTAAAGCATTGTAAGCTTTATATGTGATGAGACAGCTTCCTCTAGTGGTAGACTGTATAAATGTGTGGTATTCTCATAAAGGGATTATGGGACAGAATTTAACCCTTTAATAACCTTAAATTTAAGCAAACATTACACCTACTATGAGCAAAATATTTTTTTTCCATTTAAAATTTATATATAAAACAGTTTTTTGAGTGAGTTATTTGGCCTTTCCCATAGCATTACCATCGAGTCAAATGTCCAGTTTGAAAATTGCAGTAACTTGAAGGTCTCATTCAAATTTTTTTCACATTTTTGGGTGTAAATATAAGATTCTCATGGAATGAAGTGCATTGATAATGTTATAGATCACCTCTTTCCTTTAAATAATATGTTTTTTTTTAACAGTTTCATCTTGTTTTATACTGTAATACATCACAGGAAGATCTCAGATGATGATTCAATAACCTCAAAATGGCTAAATGCATTTTTAGAGGGACCTTGAACTGAATATTAGCTCTAGGGGTGATGATTGGTACATGTAATCAAACCCCTTCATTGTAATGAAAGCAAAACGTCAACCCAAAAGTCAAAACTTTGTTTAAAAGTAAATATGGCTACATCTTCTAATACTTAATTCTCAGTGGTAGGGTTTAAATTAAATGCAGTAGCCTACACTAGGTGGTTGCTCCCAGTGAGCGATGAGAGGACTATTTCACATGACTACAACAAGAAGGAGGTTTGTTGAGTAGGAGAGAGAGCAAAAAAAGTGAGCAAAATTTTCAAAATTACATTCCTCTCAAAAAAAGGACTTTGAACATGATTTTAGGCTAGAAGGTAGCTGAGTTCTGCTTGCCTTACCAATTAATCTTATCTTAACGATGCAAATCTTGCCAACAGTTTTCAAAAATATTTCATTTATAGAGGTAAAACACTTTCAGAAAAGAACCACCACCAGTAGTAGCCAATTATCAACAATACCTAAAAAAACCCCAACATATATGCGCAGTATATTTGCTGTTCCTAGAACTGCACTTTTCTGGACCGAGATGTCTGATGTATTTCCAGGAATCTGCTGTAACACTCCTCAGGTTTGGGGGTCACTGATCCGAGTGCCCAAACCACATATATGTGTTTATATATACAATATATACATTATATATACCTGGGATCATACCAAGTTACATGGTTTATTAAGAGATTACAGCAGCAATGTCCAGAAGTCAGCTTTCAATCTAAGGGATTTTGCATACTTAAATGAAATAAAAGAAACAACTTGCTAGTGATATGTGTAGTATGTAGGACCCAGAGTAATAATTTCATGAATAATATTGTAGTTAATCTTCTGTTAGACTTAGACATATATATTTTGTTATTATGTAAACAAAAATTTATTCAGTTTAAATCAGCTCTAGACAATTTCATTTTTTAAAGTGCAGCCTTGAAAACAGTAATAAATACAAAAAAATGTAATATAAAAATATGACTGTGAAACTTATGAAATGTCACTAGAATTTTTTTCTTTAATTTGATTTAGTTTCACATCTTTCTTACTTCTCCAATGGTCGTCCAATTATGGCACTTTCTTAGTGGTATTTTAATATGGTATTTTAATATTAAAACTTCTTTCACAATCAGCATTGAATAATTCAAATGAATATTAGCACAAATATCGAAAAAACTGTGAGATCTGCTTTGGCTCCTCATATATGCTGCCATCTTATCTGAGGATGTGCTGATTGACTTCTGATCATTGTTTTGCTCCACTGTCTACTTGAAATTAACAGACAAAAAGAGTCTGATGGAGAATCAAGCTGCATGGTGAAGAGGTACATCTTACGGTGCTTTGTTGATAGCAGGGCTGATACAAATCTTTGAGTTTCATTGTTCTCTAAGCTTAGGCTGCTAAATAATATGGGCCGCCACATGGTCTCCTTTCAGTGGGATAATTGATTTACAGTATTCATCTTTAGCTCTTTGATGTACTAAATGAAGGACATTGGTGAACTTTTTTTAGGCACACTGAATTTCTATTGAATGTATTCATCCAAATCCAACTCTTAAATGTATTAATCTTTAATATAAAACTGATTTTATAGGAAAATATAAAACTTGCTTTCAAAAGTAGCTACCATACTCCAGCAGGCTGAGATGCTATAAGCGCCAAAACGAAATATGCTAATGATTAATCTTTTCCCTTTCCGTTTTAATTATTACTAGGTTATATTTAACAAGGCAAGCAAAAACTGTGCTCAGTTTCTCCATATTATATAACGGAATTCAGTAGGGATGACAGTTATTTCTCGTATTTTCATTGTTGTTTTCAGGTTGTAAAATAAATAATACACAAATTCAAAATGATAAAGAAAAAAATATTTGTCTATTTTGATTTAAAGTTTATGATGGATTTTATTTTCGCTGCATAGATTTTATTGTGCGCCGAGAATGTGCAAGCAGTGCGCAGCTGCGCAAGCCTGCAGCTTTGAGGGAACTTTGGTGCTCATAGTCAATAGATGGAGATTATAACCAGGTCAGTCATTGTCAGGGGGCCACCAGCGAGCTCGGGCCCTAGGTAGTTGCTTGCTTTGCTTGCCTTGTTGCAAAGGAATTGAATGTTATGAATGAGGCCTGAGAAAGAGTCTGGCTTGTTAGGACAATGATTTTTTTTTTGATAGCAAACAATCCCAAATAAGATAAAAATATCTCCTTTGAGTTGTGAGTAAATACATTTAGAAAGTTAACAAAATATTATGGAAGGATTCTAAAAAGATTTTTCCCCATGTCAGAACCAATAGTATACATCTCCATTTCGAAAATATTATATCTGACTTACAGATATACTTTAAAATCCTTCTGTTAGTATCACTGAATGTATCAGGAACTTAATACATAAAAGATTTGCTGTCAGTGTATCAGCCTCCCATACCATTAGGTCTGTGCACCCAGAACTAGAACCAAACATGGAGAAGCAGCATTTAGTTCCTATGCTCAAGTGATCTGGAAGAAACTCCCAGAAGACTGGAAAAGCACTAAAAGCCTGACTTCATAAAATTAAATTTAAAACCACTTTATTTAAAACGGCCTGGACTTTTGAAGTTGAACTGTTAACCAGAACCCAGTCAAGCTTCAAGATCATCAGTTTGGATTAAAAAGTAAAGGTGACAAAAACTAAATAATAACAAAATGTACAAATTCACTTAATATGACTAAATTACGACAAAGGATAGACCATATACATTATATTGTTTTCATGCTTCAAAAGTTTATTTCGTGCAAGGCTAAAGAAAAGAAGAAGGTTTTACTTAAATCACCACTTATAAAACATTCACTCTCCTCTAATCTACCTGTTGTTTATGTGTGGGTTATTCTACTGTGTTACACAAAGGAGAAATTATATGAAGTATAAGAAGAAATAGCTTTTAGAAAATAGGATTTCTATATGGCAGAATAACTGAAAGACAATAAAGCATCCTCCACTGGTTCTGGTTCAAGCATTTTTATGCCAGAAAGAGGTTTCCTCTCGGACTGCTCAGGCTTTCTTGGCACAGACAGATGGGAGATGAGCGAGACATGTTTGGTCAGCCCAGCACTTTCCAACTAAGCACAAGAAAAAAAAAATCAATCAACATCACAGAAACAAAATCCTGTTCATAAGATGTCATAATTGTAGAGAAGCTTAATATTCTACCTCCCCCCCCATAAAAATAAAAAAAAATTAACAAAAAAAATATATGCCATTATATGTAATTGATGCAGTACATGTAATAGTATGGTAGCTAAAGTTTTTGTTAGATTTCTGGTTCTGTTATGTTTTTCTTTTGGTTGTTTTCTAGTTTTTTATGGTTTAATTCTTGTGTTCTTTGGTTTTTTCTCAGTTACTGTCTTAGTCTTGGTTCTGTTATGTTTTCTTTTGAGTGTTCAGTTTTAGTGGTTTAATTTTTATTTTGTTTTGCTTTACTCCTTGTTTTCTAGTTTTAGTGCTTTAATTTTTATTTTGTTGTGTTCTCTGGTTAATTCTTAGTTACTGTTTAAGTCTTGGCTCTGTTATGTTTTTCTTTTGAGTTTTCAGTTGTACTCTGCTCCATGTTTTATAGTCTTAGTAGTTTAATTCTTATTTTCTGTGTTTTCTGGTTATTTTCAGTTTTCTAGGTTTTTATTTGTTGCCCTCTGCTGCCCTCTTGTGTTCTCCTTTTACCTAGCTCCTTTTCTGTTATGCTCTATGCACACCTGTTCCCAATCTGTTCTCTCTTTGTCTCAGTCTCCCTTAAATACCCTCCCTGTTCAGTTCTTTTTTGCTGGTTCCTTGTCATACTTCCTCCAACTCCTTCTCTCTGAGCCTTCCTTGTGATTATTATCTCCCTGATGTCTCCATGGTTTTTGGTTCGTTTTGACTTGTTTTCTTGTTTGATTTTTGGATTTTTGGACTCCTGGTTTCCTGTTAGATTGGACTTTGTTTTTTTATTTTTGGATTTTGGATTCCTAGATTCCCATTTGTTTGGACTTTGTTTTTCATATGTGGATTTTGGATTTCCTGCCTCTTTATTCAGTTTACCTTTTCATTAAATCATCAAGTAATTCACCTCTGCCTCCCTGCCTCTGCTTTTGGGTCAACAAACCACAACCAAATCGTGACAGTTTTACTTACATAGATAACCTGCTAGTTACCCATCAATCCTTTACTGCTTGCAAAACATACACTTATGTGTGATATTTACTTTTACCTGTATGGTTAATCAGCAAACAGTACTGGTTGCCTCCCCAATTGTTAGGCTCTCTTGGACACCAGTTTGTGTAGTGGAAACGGCTTCCATCGCTCCAAAACCAAACGTTTTTCTGGAAGACACAGCCCAGCAGATAATAAACATCTTTTAATCATTTACCAAAATACTTAACAAATAAACTGACCAGTAAAAATATACCTTCTGTGCATCAGTGCCTCCAATCCATGTATGTTCAGACCTATAACTTGCCGTTCTTATCACATGCTGAATCTGATGGTACTCCCTTAGGTTATGAACTGATGCCAGATGTCCCCCCATGGACATGCAGTGCCTCTGGAGAAAAAACAGACTCATGTATAGAAGTAGTAGCTGCATTTTGTTGATTAACAACCATGAGATAAGAGAGTAAAGGAGCATAAGAGCACAATGGTATTGGAAATCACCTCAGCTGAAGCCCAATCCAAGGGCATGGAAACATAGTGGTAGCAGTTACCGTTGTACTCAGACCAGCCAGAAGGACAAGAAGCAGATCTCTGGACCAAGTCCATTGGATCTAAAGACAAACAAATGGAGAGCCTTAGTTAAAAGCGATGTATGTCAGCATTAGAATAAACTTTATTCTTCATGATCCTATTACAAAACAACACTCACTGACCTTCATCAGCAGAGCCATCATCTGGAACAGCTGTGGACATTTTAAACAACACAAATTAGTGAGTTTGTTTGAGTCTTAGTAACTTTACAAACTCTGTATACTTGAGAAATGCTTACGATCAGCTCCGGCCCATGCCATCTCAGAGAAAACCAGGACACACAAAACCAGCAACTTCATGATGGAAGTGATGAGATGATGGAGATATACAAGCTGAAATAAATGAAAAATAAGTTAGACATCTTATGAACATTTAAACTCACCAGTGAGTGAAATAGAAGAGCAGAGAGTCGATCAGCAAACCTGATTCAGAATTGTTCGTTTTCTTCGTCTGCCAGGACCACCTAGGGCTCAATGTGCCATCCCAAGCTTCTTATAGAGCTACTAACCTTCCCATCATCCACAAAATGGGGAAATGACTCAGAAACTAATTCCACAGAATAAAATTACATGATCAGATCTGGTTTGTAACCTGTGTCACAATTTACCAAAGACCAAAACCCCCCACATTACCATTTATGGCTGTCATGACTGTGAAAGTTGCAACAACACCGTGAGAACATTTTTATAAAAAGTGGGGCCTAAAGGCCATTTGTGGCCCTCTGGGACTTTTCCGTAGCACTTGATTGCAATTCTGAATTGTTTAAATTAGGTTTACCATTGATACACATTTAAGAAATATATCAGGATGTTTTTTTCTGATTTAGAAAAGAATGCAGCGAAATTACATCCTCCCTACAATCCCTCACACATGTGAGGTGAAGCACACCTTTAAATTCAATGAAAATTGGCTGTCCAGCTCAGAGTTTTTTGCATGTCTAAAACCAGTACCAGAGAATGCATATAAGGTACAGTGTATTTTGTGCAAGACATCATTCAAGCTCGGCAAGCAAGGCATTGGAGTTACACATGCAAAGTGTGAAACACAAAGCGTCAAAAGCAAGTAATTGAGAAGCAGCAGATATTTCTCAGTTCTGTTCCAACCTTATCTCTGCAATGCCTCCATAGCCATCTCCGACATCAACAACAGTGCCAGAAGCACCAAATCTCTGAATAATGATTGGTGGTACACCTACAATGCAAGCAGAGCTATTGTGGACTTTAAGTAGGGAACAAAACAAAGTTAGTGAATTCAATTTAGTAGTTGTTAATATATATGTTATTTGTGTGATTTTAGCTTTCTTCTTCTATGGAAAGCTTTTTCAAAATTCGAAAGATTTCTACTGGGCCAGAAAGTATTGGTTTATGTTAAAATAGATTATAACAACAATTTTGTCAAAAAAGTGTTTGCAGTGATGCTGCCAGACACTGTAAATTACCATGACTCACTCATGAAGGAATATAAAGACTGTTTTGTAGGACTTGGATGTCTACCTTGAGAACACAAAATATCTTTGGATGAACCCATACCTCCTGTTGTGCATCCTTGCAGGAAAATCCTATTTAATCTGTGGAACAAACTGAAAGGTGAACTGGTGCTCATGGAAAATCTAGGGGCACATCAAGAGAATACATGAGTGAATTTAAAGGGTCAGCGCACTGATGGTTGTGCAAAAAAAAGCAAAAAAAAAACAGGAACAAAACAAATACAGAGAGACACAAATGCAGTTGAAACTCTGAAAGAACTCAAGAGCATAATACAGAAATGATGGCCAGAAAACAAAAACAATTGTCCCAAAAAGATACAAGACTACTTGAACTGCAGAGCAGAGCTCGCTGTGGTGAATGAAATAGTGTTGAAGGGGAGTAAATTTGTTTTTCCTTCTTCACTACTTCAATCAGATGCTCCAAAAGATACACGTGGGTACCTGGAAGAAGCCAAGTGTAAACGCTGAACAAGAGAAGTAATGTACTGGCCAAGAATCAACCAAGATATCAGCCGGACAACAGTGTCATGTGAGCTTTGTCTCACACACCGGCACAAAACAAGAAGCGGAGCCACTCATGGCTCATCTGGTGCCCCACAGACCTTAGTACACGGTTGGTACTGAGTAATTTGACTTTAATGGAAAGAGTTACACAGTGGTCACCGACTACTTTTCTAACTATGTGGAAATCAGAGTCCTGCAGTCTACTTCAAGCAAGGCAGTCATCAGCTACCTAAGGACTGTCTCCGCCAGACATAGTGTTCCATGTGAAAATTATTTCTTTATTGGGCGAAGGATGTAATTTTAGGAGCATGGAAGCGCTAGCACTCCAATACCCACCATGCAACAGGGTTCAAGAGCAGGGATGGTAGCCTCGCAAGAGATGTCAGGTTGTTGAATGTACGGTTGCAGAAAACCAGGATGCCGGACTGAATGAATAAAGAAGAAACTTTCAGCAGAACCAGGCTCAGTGTGAGCAACCTTGTGCGGAGGTCAACTTAGGTTCAATGAGATAGAAACAGGCATACAAAAAGAAGCAGCTATACAAAAGGTAAGTGTAAACTAGCTCCAGAGGTGGCCCTGTCCAGGAAACACACACCCAAGCAGACAGGTTCTGAGCCAGCTCCCATGTCAGAGGATTAAAGAGAGCATGTACAGTTAGTCACACTAAAATAGAAAAAGGACTACAGAGAAAAACAAGGCCAGCTCCAACATTCATAAACAAAGGTGTAGATTGCTAGCCTGACGTAGTCCTACTCAATTCTAGTCAGAATATGAGTCTGATACTGCTCCATAGAGCTGTGATTATGGGGCGTGTTTCGAACGAACCAGGAAAAAAAATGCCTCTGCACTCAAAGCTGATACTTCTATCAGTGTCACAGCCAAACACAAACAGACCCGATGA